GGGGCAGAGGCGGCAGAGTGTTGCTTTGCTGGCACAAAACGAGCCAGTCCGAAAAACTCGTCCAGAGAAGTTGCCAGCCTTTTAATTTGGGTGCTTCTTACTTGAGATGCTCTATATGATTTTTTTTCTGCTTTTTACATCTGTAAAGAGTCATGTAGCGGCTATAGGTTTGTAAAAGAAGGCCACTGCCAACAATATACAATCGCCGTGGTTTGCCTTTAATTGCCGCTTTCGAACAACGTAGCGTTCTGACACTGTTCCACTTCCTCTCCCATATGTGTTTTGAATCCTAGACCTCAGTGGAACTCTCGACTCTTAATAAGGATTCTTCTCGTCCGCTGCTCAGGCAGAATGTTTAAAGGCACTTCCCTGCGACCACACTTCATAGGTAATACAGTTCAAAAATTGCCCTGTGATTGTTGACTTATTGAAGAGAAGGAACCACGAAAAAGCGCCCGCAATAAGACCCTCTTTATTTCAATTGATCATGATCACCGGACGAGCGTAAGGTGGTCAAGATCAATTGTGGATGGCAAAAGGCGGCGAGACACTGATAAGAGAGAGGCCAGAAAACGACGGGCGAGAGAGCGCAATGGCATCTCACAACGACACGATCGGAGGCCGGCATGGGCCTATCGGGCGCCAAATGGGCCTAAAACCTGAGCGCGCTGCGTTTTGCTTGCTGTTTTTCAACTTTTAAAAGCAGCATAGCCTCTGACGTTGCCTGCTTGACCATCGTGCACGGTTATGAGAACCTAGCCTTAGTTTATCGCGGAACGTGCCTTTAAGGATGTTCAGTCATATCTGCAGATTCCTTGATGAAACGTTTTATTTTTACGACCCTCTCCGAGCACACGAGTGGCTGATGGAGAAAGCTCCTTGCGCATGGGCCGATATGTAGCCGCAAAGTTTCTACTCCTTCTGCGGTATGATAGTGTGGAGGTAAAGCTACTGTGGAGGGCCGGGGGCCCTACCCGAAATAAGTAAGTGCAGTGCCTGTCTCTTTTGCATATTCTATTCTTCTAGACCCACTCAAAAACTTAACACTAATATCGGAATACGTTGACGACAAAAATCAGCCGAAATCAAATGCACCCAGCTTTGCTTTGAAGATCGTTCTTGATTGCTTATTTGAATGGTATCTTTGCAATCGGATCATTTATACCTGGTGCATGTCTCCAAATTGAAGCACGATCCAGGCCCAGCTATTAGATAATGCGTCTTCAAATGCTGATGGCAGCGAGTTTCTTGTCTATTATATATCGCACGGGTTGGGTTGGTCACGCATTACGTGCGACCTCCGCCTGGAAGGAATGGAAGCGCGTGTTGGGAACGCAGTTTCTTGTTTCTACTTCAGAATTCGGAGGCGGAGGTGGTGTAGTGACAAGTGGCGCGCTTACCACTCGCGCGGTCCTGGGTTCGAATCCCAGGTCGACACCCGCCCAGGCCAACCAAGCCTTCTACCCTCCGGGTAAATTGGTACCAGATTCGTCTGGGAGGATAAAACACTGACTTGTACATCGGCTGGCCACCGCAAGTCATTGTATAGGCCACATCGCATTCAATAAGCCACTACGATTCTGAATGGAAGTAGAATGCGTGCCGCATCCCACAAAGGGATTGATCAACGGCGAAGACTTTATCCTTTGCCCTTTTACTTCAGAATTCGACCGCCTTTCATCTGAACTTCCTCACATCCTCCTACTAAGCGGCAGCCTCTCATCCTTCACCTTTACGAGGTTGGAGGACTACCGTCTCGTTCCGGCCCGGCTGACTTTTTCCGTGTTCCAGTCACATCACGGCTACTCCTTGTTAACTTGGCACACTAACATCAACTAATTGGCATATTACATAATATACATATGAATGTCCATTATAAAGCAATTTAGAATTATATCAATATGCACTCGGCTGACTGCACTACTACGCGCATCGCATGGTGAACCTTATAAAGTCGATAACAGAACACCTGTGCCGATTCTTTTATCTATACCGATCACTTGCCGTCACTGCTTTCTTGGGATATCAGCAACTCTAACAATTTTACATTTTGGTGGATAATTACCGCTGTCTGGACCTTATCACGTTTTCAAAAGCATCGACCCTTCGCTGGAAGTATGGACAGCCTAACGGTTGAAACGTTTCGACCGTAACTCCAGTGAAATGCCGACGTGATTTCTTCACACAACAGTGCTCCAGTACAGCAATGGTAAAGCAGTTTCCATATATCCACTTGTTATTGTCTCTCATCGCTCCTCATCGATAAGCACCACAAACTGTTTACATTCTGTGGAGACTTGAAAGGTCACAGGTTGAGTCTGATCTGATTCTACTGCCACCGAAAACAATGAATCGTATTCACCGTATTCACTAGGCCCCTGCCCTTCGATACTTGAGCTATAGTTGTTGCGGTTTAGCTGCAAGCAGTGTTTAAAAGGAAAGGTGGTTCCTACCAAAACTCATCAGTCACTGCATCACTAGCACTTATTAATGATTAATGTTATCGCTCAAAATTAGTCGCTCGCTGGAACAGCTTCGCTAAATTGCGTCTCCATTTTTGTGAACGCTCGTGCTTATGAGTAATTCTGTTTTCCCTTTACTACACTCTCTTTATTAAGAAGGTAAGATTTTTGACGGATTTAATGGTTGTTGCAAAAGCTTGACATGCATCGCTCACCGTAGTTTGTAAGCTTTCAGGAGTTACTTCTTGTTACGGTCTTACCCCAGTATTTTTGTTGTTTTTCGCTTTCTTTTCGTTGCACTGCATGGCGTTCGTGCTGGAAGCGAGAAAGCGATCTGTGATCCGGAGGCTGCACAGAGAAAACAGGGCGTAGAGTTGCCAGCAGTTCCGAGCAAGAATTTGCACATCGAAACTGTGTGTGAACTGTGAGATATTGAGCAGTTTTATTTATGGTAAACTTGGGGAATCCTTTTGCCTTTTTTTCAGCTTTCTCATTCAACACCCACTATCCATGATACTTAATTGCGGGAAGATCGCAGGAATTGTCTTTAACACTGGTAACGGTACTGGTTCGCGCTTTGATTGATGAACCGGACCGGATCCTTTGCGGAAGAGTGATTCGCTCTTCCGCAATAAGTGATTCAGCTAAACCGGTGTTTTCTCACCTTCCCCTACTTTCCTAGATGTTTTGTTTTTTGAGTACTGTGGACTATGAGAAAACAATTTCATAGTTGCTACAAGTACTCTTTATATGCAGTGATTGGTCTAGAATAGAACCAGTGTCTAATGAACAGTTGGATTCTTTTTTTCTGCCTATCGTAGATCACCCCACCTAAACGAGAAAATTTCCTGCTCGTAGTCAAACGCTCCTTGTAAGGTTGGCATGGAATATGAAACGTATCTTATCTTTAGTATCGGTTCCTGAAGCAGTGGGCACAGATGCCCTCCCTCCAAGCCAAACAGCGCCAACCTTTCCACTCCTTCCCGTACAAAAAGGATGGTGATCGTAGGAGCTTCAACTGTGACTTATTCTCGAGTTTGTGCACTAATTTCTGCGAGGCTAGCAGCACTTACAGTCCTCATCATTGCGGACCGGTGGGGCGTGTCAGCCAGAAGGAGTGCGCACACTGTTGAAGCCGTTCTCAGCCTTTTTTGTTGCAACGCGTATGCGACAAAAAGTGGTAGAAAACGAGTAATACGAAGGATATAATACAGTAATGCACTTGCCCGCTTCAAAAACTGGTGCAGAACGATTTTGCCAAACCGCACCAAAGCAGCCGCACTGCCACGCCCCACCGGTCCGCAATGATGAGGACTGTATACGGTAACCGCGAATCATTGGGAATTCCAAAGGACCCTTTGCACAGCCGTTTTTTGGCACAAGTTTTCATACTGCTGCTGCGCCTTTCAAAGCAAAGAAACGGATTAGCCACTGTTGAACGAGTACAGTAGTGCAGCGAACTGCCAAACATGCGTCATTTTGATCCGATTACTTCCAGTGAGGAGCTCATGTTCACTTCTCGGTTTCGCACCCCAGTCCAGTGAGCGTACTGTTTTCCGTTTGTTTGTTCCTTCAACACTTTTCCTCGTTAGCTGGAGGGATTCGGATTCGGAATGGACCGAATTCCGGCATTCTCCTATTTGTAGAGTTTCTCTTAAAGGCACAGTTCGCGACCGCAAATTGCGGGAAACGGAACTCAAATAGGCACAAAAAAGTGCTAAGTATCTGATTAGCGGAGAAAAGCAGCAGAAAAAGCAGTCCGAAATGTTATAGAGAAAGATAACATAGTGGCTACTAGCTAGTAGCTAGCAGCCGGTGAGGGTCGGCATGGGCCTAAGGGGTGTCCATGGGCCTAATTAGTCAGCTTCTAGCGGAGTTCTTGCCGTTTTTCACATTTTGAAAGTAGCGCAGCCTCAAAAATCGCCTTCCGGATCGTCCGACACATTTGAGAGGTCATAGCCTTATTTTATCGCGGAATGTGCCTTTAATGGGTGGTTCCAAGAGGGTTATGCACCAAGAATAATGTATGTAGAACTTCGAGGTTCCCAATCACTTATCACTCTACATGTTGACCACATTTTGCTCATGCTTCGATTTCGTGTGTTTGGTCTTGTGTGGTACTAAAAACAACGTGGCATGTCGGCAAGGGTTCACTTACATACATTCGATTGATGGCGTAACATGAGGCACACATTTGCATGAGGTATTGTAAAATTGCAGGGTAGGATCCATGGTAGTAGCAGTATGTTGGTTGTTGCATAGGTGTCTATATCGAAGCCGAAGAACTAGACGTGCAGCGCAAGCCTTCAGTTTCAATTGATTTATTGACTACCAAGCGACTCTTGCAGACTTTCAACCGGCCATTGTGGACGGACCCGTAGCTACTAGCTGCTAAAACAACTAACAAAAATCCAGAAAAGCACAAGACTGTTACAATCCGATAAGGGTGTAGAAAAGGTAAGTTTAGAGGAGTGATAATGCTCAGGGGTATTTCTAAAGTGCTGCAACAAAAGCATTGTTCACTCATATACATGTGTGCTAGTAGAACAGCATGATTGGATCATAATTGGGGAGACCTGCGTTTGGATGCGATTCGGTTCCTGCTAGATTGTGTGGGATTTCTGCCAGAATATCGTCTTCCAACTTGACTAGCTGACAGCATGTTGCCTGAACAAAAAATGATTTGCTAGTACATGCGGCATGGCTTACCACAGCCATCAAACGAAAGACAGTGAAGTTTTCGATCTTCTCTTGAAAATCCAGCAACGTGTTTCGGAAAAAGCTACGCGAAAGTCGCCTTTATCTCACCAGGGTGAGCCCGATATTTTACAAATCTGCTTTTTTTTTCTCTAACTCTTTTTCGCTTTCTTTTCTGAAGAATGTTCCGGCTCTTTGAATAACCTGTCTTATTCTTCAGCTTTGCAAAGCACTCCAGTGCAACAACGGATGCGCAGTGATCGGGGTTTAGAGCTTGAATATTTAACAAATAAGGTGTTGCGTGAAAACACTCCCATTCACCGGCACAACTGCGTGCTGGAGAGAACTACCAGTAATCTTTAGCCGATTTTATAATAGATTTCATCCCGATCACCAATACTGAGCAGAAGTTCTGAACACCGTGAGCTCACAATGGTAAAAACGAGCTCAGTCCATCCCTCTCTGAACCGTACCGGCTGACTGTGACCTGACTAACTGGGAGTGCCGGCTTCGGGTTGCCTGTTATCTAGAGTTATTCATTACCGTTTTTTAAGGAAAGGTGTACTGTCGCTTGACTGCGGATAAACTAATATTTGCACATTCCTTGTGATGGTCAAAAACTGTGTGCACGATAGCTGAGGGCGGGCGGTTTCGCCAACGCTATTGGTGAAAGGGCTAGATGGGGAGTGGCCAAACACCCTCTCGCAGTCTTCCACTGTGACGCTGGTAACAACAGCCCGCCTCCAGCCATCGTGCCCACTGCCCTTAAGAAGGAACACGCTTGGGCTACAGCGCTTGTACAATAGGATAGTGTTCTTGTGAAATATAGCAGCACCGGGCAGCGCTCATATTTCGAGATTGCAGACGCGATCGCCACAATCGTAGGGAATGCGGGATGGCGACGGAGATCAACGCCACTAGATGAACTGCTCCGGGTGCTAGTGGGGAGGTTTCTATTTATGTGGCTTCTATTATTAGCTACAACCGTCTTCGAACTAATGCTTTTTTTAATTCAAGAAAAGGGAAACCTGGATTGAGGGGTAACTCGTTCTTATTGTTTTTTGGATCTGTTTTTGGGATGGGCAAAATGCGCAAAAGCTTCGTTTGAGTTCGGTGCTCTATTGTTTCTCATCTCACTCTTCATGCTCCACATGAAGTTAAGAAGTTTCTACTTCGCTGATGCTGCCTCGAAGAGTTTCAGCGAGTTCCAATTCCTAGGTGAGTTTTCTGTCTTTTTTACTGTTCAAACTCGAACTGTAAAGTAAGTATAATTGTTTTGGAAGTTGAGGAAGGTTTCCAAAACACTTATATCAGCTCGAACAATGAAAAAAAGGAACAAAACGAAGCACACATAGGAAAGCCTCATCTCGAAATCGAAAGGAGATGGTGGAACCCTGTCCACGTGATTTCAGATCCCCTTATCTCATAAAGAGCGATCGATCGCAGCGATCCGATCTAATATGCGACCGAGCGCGACGATACTCGATATACGACGGCAGCGGCCATAGCCGCGATGGCAGCTGCCGTCGAGGAGTATGAAAGCTACCTTAAAATGGAGAGTACAACAAATAGCTTTACTTCCGAAACATTCCTCTTGTTGGAGAGTCGGACTGTCGAATAGTCATATCATACTGCTGGGAGGACACTAACCCGCCGACTTCAGTCGTTTGAGGAGAGTCTACGAGATGACTTCTTGTCGTAGAATGTTAATGAGCTCTCAAAGGACAATGAACTAACCTTTTTGAAACCGGAATTTTGTTGGTTCATGTAAGCTCGAGAATGCTGGAAAGTAATTACCGTAAGAATCGGAGAGAATGAAAAATTGAGCCCTTACCTTCGTCGCTTCCATGACTGGTGATGCGTGTGCTTTCCCATGGTTTCTTACCTAGAAATGTTACCGTTGAACACGTCAGCTGAAGATCAAAATATCCATACGAAAGCACATTGGTAAGCGCCGCTATATTTCTGTCCATTTCTTATTTCTCATGCTCTCTACCCGATCAAGCTATAACATTATTCGCTTCTGTATAAAGCGAACAATTAAGCCCTTCCATACAAACCTGATAGTTTTGTGGATCGCAAATGAAAATCCTCAAAACCTCGAGGGGAACCTCTCAGTGTGCGCCGGTGCTGACGTGTAAGCGTTGCAATCAAACCGAACCAACTGCGACTAGGGTCGCAATGGAAGGTGCTTATCAACGGCAACATCACGACCCTCGCGGGTAGTCGTCAACGCAGAAACGCCACTTGGATAATTCCAGCTGTCGGCTAATAATCTTAGTTTCAAGCTGGATCACTTTGCACACTATGTCCGTCACTTCAGAGTGCACGGATAATACTGAACCAGCACTCTCGCCGACATGAAACACCACATGAACATCAGAAATATTCATCAAACAAACATGCTTACATCCGTTGTCCCTAGTTGAGTACATTGCAGCTGTGGCTTCAAATGTGCCCGCTGGTCAAATTTGAACATACGTTCCTCGTAGCAAGAGCTTCGTAAGGTCTCAAACTGTCACGCCGCTCAGGGTCGGTCATCTCTCGTGCCGAATGCTCTGACTCCTTTTCCAAGACTGCATGTTGTTGCCGGAGAGCAGCAATTCCTAAGGGGTCAGGAGCCGACTGCGTCGTCGCTTGTGCACGGCTCTTGTAAGCTTTCGTAGAGAGCGCGCATACGCGGCGGCAACTACGAGAGCACCATTAACAGAAAAAAGTCGGAAAAATCTCCTCTGATTGTAAGCTTGAAGGCACCACCAGGGTATATTGAATTGTTTCTAATCATATATATTTTTCCACAGGAAAATTTCACAGAAGCCGCGTTACACCATGGACAACTACAACGACACTGATCTCGTGCACAAGTGCGCTGATAGGTTTGCAAACGAGCTGGACAACAGATTGGTAAAGGTGTAAGGCTACGGGTTAAAATGCTGAAATCAGTCACGTTCGTAGCCAAACTTCGGACCCATCGCGGGTCTCTAACGATCTGAAGCAAGCCCAAGAGGAAACATCGATACCTTTGCTCCCAAAACACGGTGAAATGTCTCCGAGAGAGGTGTGTAGGACCAAAACATAGAAAACAAGTGGTGCTGCTTGTGAATTCGTTACACCGATCGTGTCACTTTCAAAGCAGCAGCGTGGAGGGCCAGTATTGCACTGCTCACGAAGTGATAGCGTGCAGAGCAGCCGTGCCCATGAGAAACAAGCATGTGATATAAACCTTGAATGGGAAGACTACTCTTCGAATGTCCTGTACTACCGAGGACTTCCTTGTGACCGACGGCCTGCGTCTCCCTATTTCGCCCTATGCTTACCATTAGACCCTTCTGGTTGGGATACGGGCGAGAGTTCCGACGCAATGAACGCAAAATCTCTGAAGAGGAAAATGCATGGACTCTAAGCTCGCACTGACCTCGTAAACTTCATGGGTTTTTGCTCTTGTCTCTAATGGGAGGTGCATAAGCGGTCTGGAGGGCACATCATCGTTGCAACTTCCCTAACAGAGGGGTAGTATATAGTCTCTGACGAAAGGGAGGTTGTATTTTATCTGAGGAAAATTTTGTTGATATTTGATTTTTCTCGTATCAGGGACGCTACAAAGGGAGGGGGTGTACGGACTAACGATGTGCCCTGGGTCTGATCGTCATGTTAGAATCGTCGAAACTGAGTTGACATGAGTCATCGCCATGCTTTCAGCAACATGGCACTCACATTTAACGCCAAATTATGATCGTTCGAGGGGTGTGCAACTGCGGACAAAGCGTCTTCCACTGCTATGAGTTTTCCCTACAGACGCCAGTATGATATTTTGTTGAACTATGTTTTATGCCTCGGCCACCATCGGGGAAAATCAGACAACACTGGATAGAGCAATAATTTAGCAAGGGGAAGGTGAATAACTTCAACGTTCGTCGACCACAATTCCCTTAAAGACAGCGCCCGCGATGGACTTTGGCAGGTCTCAGGGGTCAAATTTGTTAGAACAGGTGGCCAATGAAGCACTAATCAAAAAAAGTAGGAAAAAGGTGTGGAAGAGCGTGAAATAAGACCCTACGAAATTTAAGGCATGTGGACGAGTTTCGCAGACCTTTGGTGAGTTCTCCAATACACGTCGCCGGCTCGGAACTCCAGAAACTTAGCGTTTATCAATGCCAGCAAGCACTGATAACTGTTAACCAGTCGGGGCGGGATTAACAGGGAAGGAGGCGTCAGCTCAGCCTTGTTGACTCCGCCCTCGTCAATCAATACATTTCGAGCCGCAAGAGTGGGATATCCGCTATGGTTGCGAACTCCGCGTTCGTTTTCATTGGAGGGTTTTTCACTTTGGTTGATCGCGGACGCTGCCTTTAAATTGAGCAAATCTCTCGCCTAGTGTGGTTAACATTGGAAATTGCATTCCTAGTAGAGTTATCATCCTTGAGCGATCAGATATGAGAGATAAGATAAGATTTTGCTCTATTCATGCTCCCATGCTTTTAATATAATATAATAGTTGCATAACCTTCTCGTCTACCATACTGCAGAAAAAGATGAATCTAAAAAAGATGGAAGGTTGCTCTACAATATGCTGAAACATACTGCAGGCAACAAACTAATGATTGACATGACTATTTGATACAAAGGAATCACAAACCTTGAGAAAACCATATCGATAATGCAAGAAAGGCGAGTAAGCATCGAAGACAATTAAACATGGCAATTGACTCTCCAGGAACGCTACAAAATACACGTTTTATAAAGCGATCAAATGACAATTTTCATCACAGTAAGGGGGAGAGGCAATCAGGAATAAGATCCTCATTAGAAGGAAGTTTACAGAGAGACTGTACGCTCAGCTTCGTGGATCCTGATCCCATGCGTGAGGTGAGTGGGTTCGCATCTGCAGTAGCATGCCACTTTCTGTGCTCAAAAGTGCGCGTGAACGATGTGAAAGGGGAGTGATGCTCAGGTGTAGGCTCCCCACCCCGCCTCGCGCTGCCGGACGGCCAGCCACGCACCTAATCGTAGCCGAATGCGCTATTTGTCTGCGCCCTCTCAGTTCTTGTCGTTCTCTACCGCTGAGCATGTGTTTCGCTGTGGAGCCCTGGATTCTTCGCATGTGCTGTACATTATGGTCAGCGTAGCGGAGTATAGAGACGGTGCCAAGTATCACTACTCTCCAGCCCAACTTTCGTGTACCTCTGAGAGAAGAAAATGGCACGCTGCTGAATCCGTTCACCTCGCACATGGAGAACATGGTCTTTGGGGACAAGCGTGCAGTTTGCGTTTGAGGCAGGGGCTCTCATCCCTTCGTTCAATATAACAGTTGGCTACCTGATGGTGGTGCTCTCAACTAATAATGCCTCACAATCGTCTGCGATATTTTAAGCACTGACATTTCAGGTTAGGTGAACGGTGCTAACATTACTAATGCTCCGTTCATACTTGCGGCAAGTCCATCAGCGACCAACAGCGTCCATGAGCGTTCCGTTTCGCAGCGTCAGTGATCAGGAAGGTGTGAATGCCGCTTTAGCGTCTGCCAAGCGTCCACCAGCGTCTCGAGGGCTCGGAAAGTAAGGGTATCGATCTAGCGTCTGTCAGCGTGCATCAGCGTTTACCAGCGTCCAGGAGAGGAGAGTGCGGGCGACAGGAGGGTAACAGATAGCTGCTACCCTCCTGGCTCCCCATACTCTACCAGCTGTCTGCCACCCTTCTATCGCGCCATGCTCTCTCTCAGACGCTGGTAAACGCTGGCAGACGTTGGATTGATACCTATATTTTTCTAGCCCTCGAAACGATGGTAGATGCTGTTGGTCGCGGTGAACGTTGCCGAAAAGTATGAAAGCAGCCAAAGAATATCCGCTGCGGATCAATTCTGTAGACCAATGGGCATTCATATTTTTCCCCAGGTTCGATCAATGTCCAATGTGTGATGATCTAGCAATAATTCTGATGAGAACAAATAATCAAGACAAATCATTTAAATGATGCGTCGCTGAGATCAGAAAAGAGTTGAGGAAAACACTGAAAAAGAACAGACTGTGGATCAGTAAACGAATTGTGGTTGATACAGACAACTAAAAACCCTGTGCATATGTCTGGTACCGCCCTATTTTTTCAAGATTGTTAGTGTCTGTCTATCAGCTGCACCATAGTTCGTTATGATTCCCTAAAGAAAGGCGCTGACGTGAGAAGTTACCTGAAACACTCGTAGTAGGATCACATGAAGTCTGCGGCCTGAGTGATAACTGTAATGTATAAGTTTACTTTTTTCTTCCTAGGCAAGGGGGTTTTTCTTTATCATTTAGTGCTGTTTCAGTGTGCTGTTGCTGTAAGAAAGCTCCGAAAGATCAGCACACTCGACATACTTGGAAACTGCCCAACCTAGTAGACAGTATTCAAGGCGTACCTGCATCTCAAGAATAGATGCAGCTCTTTCTGTCCAGGTTCACGGGTTAAAACTGCTACTTTCGGATCAGGTACCCTTCTTGAACATTTTCTACACCCTGCATTTCTATTATAACATAACATCAAATCCAAGTGATGGAGTGACCAGCACGCAGGTTGAAAGTGCGAAACGGTTGCGCTATTCGCACTGGTGTATGTGTATTGGCTAATCTCCACTATCCATAACAAGAAGCAAAAACTGCAGGACTGGTCAGGGTTGCTGGTGCACATCTGTCTGTGCACCAGCAACCCTGACCAGTCCTGCAGCTTTTGCTCGGCTATAAACAAAAAGTCACTGCGCCATGTGTGAGGGACGAGAAAAAAATCTACCGACAGCTGAAGGCAACAGTTCAGATGGAGAGAAGCTACCATACAGTTGTTATCGCGACGCGGTTCGCATTCACTGCACGAAACCCTCAG